GCTCATAATTCAAATATCTTTTATGAACTGCGAAAGCAGTTCCGGGGGTTGGTGAGCGCCAGCGAGCAGGGGGCGAAGCCTCCTAGTTTTAAATATTTTTGTTAGAAACATTAACTAATTTTGCGATATTGATTTTAAGTAATAAACATAATTAATACATTTTATCTGATTACTTAGCTGGTAAAAGTTTAAAAAAATTTTAAAATATATAATTTAAATCAAATCTATTTTTTTTTTTAAACCAATTTTTAATGAAATACGTATTTATGTTTTTGTATTTTTATGAATGTCCGATTTGAATTGTGGACAATGTTTTATTCCCTTATAGATAATCCTCCTGTTTAGCTGTTAAAGTCGCTAGTTTTTCTTTTTCTATTCTAAGACCCAAAATTTTACGCATTTTCTGCTAGAATGAATTTTAAAGAAAATAAATACTTTATATTTCCAATCACAGTTATAAAAAGTTGAGAACCAATGAATAGTTGAATAAGTGCAAGGGCTTGATTTCCAATTACCCAGGACGGTTCCCAGCAGATCACCGAAGTCAAGCATCGCTGACTGCGGTCAGTGTGCGGGTGGGTGAGCACTTGGATCAGTCTGCGTAGGGACTGAGGGTGTGCGGTATTGGTCCTCGTTAAACTGTTCTACCGTAAAGGGCTTGACTTCGCGTGCAGGTCGTCGGGCTACCGAAGCGGAGGGTGCCATCCCATCTGCAGAGGATCAAAATTGTGATGGCATGTCTTCGGAATCCTCAGGGATGTTTCCCAGACCGTCGCCAATAGCCCATTGTGTAGCTCCAGTGTAACGTAAATGAACAAATCAATCAATCAAGCCAATTACCATAAATTACTAACAAAAACATTTTTATGATATAGCAAGAGGAGTATGCTTGTGAAAAGAAGTCTTAATAAGGAGAAGTATGAAATAAAATATACAGTGTTCTCCCTAAGCGTTTTTAGAAGGGTGGCCCGCCCTGCTTGCCCATTAATCCCAATAAATGTGGCCTTTTTGTTTAAATGAGCTACCATCCCTTAAAAACACTGCGTTTTTATTCATATTCCATTTTGAAAAAATTTATTCACTGTTTAAATAATAATTTCCACCATGTAAAATTATCTGTTTTTATAGGTTTAATTCTGATTACTATTACAAATACTATTTACTAGGATATTAGGATTATTCTCAACTAGCTAAATTTTTATAAGTATCTCTTTTTTTCTGGGGGGGGGGGTATCAATATATTTTTTAAGTGATTTTAAAAAAAAATTCAATAAATACCTCTTTTTAAAATGTGCCTTTAAGTGTTCATTCTCTCATAATTTTCACTTTAAATTATCGAAAGAAGCTTTCAAGTTGTTTATCCATTAACTTTTTTTTATTTACTTTTTTGTGAAGAAAATTTATGCTCCGAGATTGTTTTTTAACATGCCTTTAATTACTTCATAAACTACAGTACAGAACCCGTTATCCGGAAATTCGCGATCGCAACGAACTATAGGGGGCGTTGTTGTATGAGACGCTTACCTGCGATTTCTATATGAACCGTCATCCAGTTACTTTAATGTAGCGTGTAGCATTGTAACGTTCCTACTTTAATGTGGCTTATTAAATTTAAAAAAGAAAAATGTTTGATATCCTTTCTTATACAACCGAAAACAAGATGGTATCTCTTTTTTTTAAAGAAGGAGCATCCAAAACACATCTGAAAAATATTTGTAAATAAACAGAAAAAAATATGTATCTTCTTATTAGAGTTAAAACCTAATGCCTGAGAAATAGTTTTACTAAATTTAATGATATAACCTGAAAGGCCTATTTAAACTTTACATTCCATAGTTTTAAGAATCATATTACTTCAAACATTAAAATAAGCAAAAAGTATACATAAGCTTCATAATTTTATGTAATTTAATTTTGTAAATAAAGTTTTTTGACAAGTAATTTTATC